CAGTCTTCCCTCCCGGAGCGGGGAGCCAGATGTGGGGCTCAAGCCCAGGACCTTGGGGTCATGACCTGATCTGAAGGCAGATGCTTAGTGACTGAGTCACCCAGACACTCCATCCTTCTGGCACTTTCATATTGGACTTTTAGCCTCCAGAACTGTGAGGAAATAAATTTCTATTCTTCAGGTCAATCTATGGTACTTTGTTATGGTAGTTCTAGCAGACTAATAGAATACCCTACTTAGTCACAGTATGTTATTTTCTTAAATCATATGGGCCTTGTGTTTTTTGGGAGAAATAACTTTCTCTGTTTCTTTTCTCTAGTGTAGGAGTGGCAAACTGCAACCCACGGGTCCGTTCAAGTTGGCTATTTTTTTTTTAAGTTTTTATTTGTTTATTTTAGGGCGAGAGAAGGAGAGAGAGAGAGAGAGATAGAGAGAGAATGAACCAGAGGGAGTGGGACAGAAGCAGACTCCCTGCTGAGCAGGGAGCCAATGTGGGGCTTGACTTCATGACCCTGAGATCACAACCTGAGCCAAAACCAAGTCTGATGCTTAACCGACGGAGCCACCCCAGCGACCCTGGCTGCCTGTCTTTGTAAATCCAACTTACCTGGAACATAGCGACACTCACTTCTTTGTATGTATCTATGGAGGCTTTTGCGCTTCAACAGCAGCGTAGAATATTAGACTTGCAAACCCCACACACTTGCTATCTGATGCTTTGGAGAAAATGTGCTGACCCCTGCTTCAGCAAATACTTAGGATGGGCTTATGTGCATACTATTCTTTGAGTTCTTGCATTTTAAAAAGAGTTTTTTTGTTTTTTGTTTTTTCTCTCTATAGAGTTCAGTGCTTGAAAACCAGCATGGATGGGTGGATACAAAATCCCGTAGCTTGCATTTTCTTTGCTTGAGTTTTTAGAAAATGCTGGATCACTATTGCCTTGCTTTGCTCTTGAGAAGTATGACGCCAGATATTTCGGTTACCAGATTCCGTTAACAAACCATCTACCTTCAAAAGTAATGGCTTGGGGCGCCTGTGTGGCTCAGTGGGTTAAAGCCTCTGCCTTCGGCTCAGGTCATGATCCCAGGGTCCTGGGATCGAGCCCCGCATCAGGCTCTCTGCTCAATGGGGAGCCTGCTTCCCCCTCTCTCTCTGTCTGCCTCTCTGACTACTTGTGATCTCTCTATGTCAAATAAATAAATAAATAAATCTTTAAAAAAAAAAAAAAGAAAAGTAATGGCTTAAGGAGAGAACTATTTTGATTGTAATTTCACAATCTTTGGGGTCAGGAATTTAGGGGGGTCTGGGTGGATTATTCTGTTCCACATCGCTTCCACTGGGGTCACTCAGTGGTACCCAGCTGGCGGCTGAACCAATATAGGACATTCGTGATGACCTGACTCACATTGGCTAGGGCCGTCTAGCCTCTCTCCCTCTCTCCCTCTCTATGCCATCTCAGAGCCTCTCCATGGGAGTTAGATTTTTTTAAAAAGGTTTATTTATTTTAGAGAGAGACACAGAGAGAGAGACTGCACGAGTAGGAGGGGCAGGGGGAGGGGGAGAGAGAATCACAAGCTGACTCCACACTGAGCGCAGAACTGGATGCGGGGCTCCATCCCAGGACCCCGAGATCATGATCTGAGCTGAAACCAAGAGTCGGATGCTTAACCGACTGTGTCACCCAGGCGCCCAAGGGAGTTAGATATTTCATACTGTGGCTCAGGGCTTCAAGAGCAAGTGTTCTCGAAGACGCAGGTGGATTCTTCAGACTCCTTATGACCTAGGCCTGGAAGTCCTATATACATCACACATTCTTTGGTCAAACAATTTACTTGGGTCAACCTGGATCAAGTGAAGGGACAAAGAATTTGCAGAATTTGCAGAATTTAATGTATTGCAGCCTCATGTCCTTACCCTTTTAAGTAATTTGAGCTTTTTGCACTGAGGCTTTGGAAACTCTTATTTTTATCTAATAGTTTGAGGAGGCTGGCTCTTAGAATTGACTGTTTTGTGATGATTTCCCCAGGTACACAGGGGTTCTTTCATATTTTGGTTCACATTTTCTTATTTCCAGAAAGTTTCATTATAGGTGGAACTTCAGCTACACCAATGTTGGACATTCTTTGCTTGTACTCAAATGACACTCCAAACCCAGAGAGAAATAAGCACAAAGCTGTCGAGGCAAGGGAAAGCAAGATGGGATGTGTGTGGGAAGTGACAAAAGAGGGAGTGGGGAGACAGACAAGGGCTAGATAAATGGAAGGTGTTGCCTGCCATGCTGAGTAGCAACATAGACAGGCAGCACATTCTGGAAAGTTTTTTTCTGACATGCAGTATGGAATATGGAATGGAAGGAATGAGACCACAGGAGAGGGACAAGATCAAAGGCTATTGCATTAAACTAGGTGAGGGACAGATTCTAGAGTTCTTTATGAAAAGCATCAGCAACGTCGTTGAGTGCTGTAGGGATGGGAAGGAAGGAATCAAGGATGACTTCCCCAGTTCTGAACTGGGGAACTGAGTAGACAGTGATCCTAAAGAGTTTTAGACACGTAGAGCTCGGGGTGACTATAGGACATCCAGGCAGAGAAATCCAGCAGGCTTTTGTGTCTGTGGAGCTCAGAGGAGTGGTCTGAGCCAGATAATGAACTTGGGAGTAGCTGGCCTATGTGGCAGGTGGAGGCAGGGAGTGGATGGAATGGCTTCAGGAGATTGTGTGGGTTGAAATGGAAGCTGAGAACAGAACCCGGGAGACTCAGGAGGGGTCAGAGGGGTGAGGAGGTAAGTCATGTCATGAAGGCCAAGGGAGTTTCAAAAAGATTGGGGTGCTTTGTGTCATCAAATGCCACCAAAAGCTCAGTGATACAGACTCAAAAACAGCCTGTGGCATTTCTGATCAAGCAAGCCCTTAATGACTGAGTGGCGCAGTGATGTGGTGGGGACAGAAGTCGCACAACTGTGGGCTGACAAGGGAGAAGCTGCTGAGTTGGCAGCAATGAGTGCAAACTGCACTCAGGATGTTTGTGAAGGAAACTACAGAAAGGGAGCAAGCGGTACCTAGAAGACAATGCAGAGGGACAGAGGGGTTTCTTTTTCTTGAGGACTGGAAAAGCTTGAACACGGCAGATGGTGAAGGAAAAGGTAAGAGTGGTTGATAATTCTGGGAGTGAGAGCTGGGGCACGATCAAAATATGTCTGAAAGGAGTTTTCTGAGGATGTGGGAGGTGATGGGGTACAGAATGGCGAAGGAGAGATGCTAATAGAAACGTACTTAGAGTAGTTAATTCCAAGAGTGGTTTATTATAGTCCAGCTCACATACTGAAATTACTTTGATTTCAATCAATAGGGCAAATACAGCAAACAGTATTGACATATTTATTTTACATCATTTACACATCTTTTCTCCAAAGGGTAAGATCAATGTTTACCCTTTCAAAGCCTCCCACATAGTTCCTGCTAAGTGGTAAATGAATAAACAAGATGTCTCTTGCCTGTATTCTGAGTATCTTAACATATTCAGAACACAGCCAAGATCCTGCACACATATGAAAAAGTCTTCTAAGCAAGCAAAAGAGTCCCCAAATTCACGTGTGGAAGGTGATGTCCCTTTTTTGAGGAACCTGCTTACCCTCACTTAACAAAGTTGGTTAGCAGAATTTCCTTCACCATAGGAGTTTAAAAATAGGAAAATCAGAGGAGGAGGAAGAGGATGTTCTAAAGGCAGCAGGCAGGCAGACAGCAGCAGGAGGTGGCACGGTCTGCCTTACCATAAGGTGCCAAAAAGCAGTGAAAACCAGACGCAAAGCATACTGGCTTGGGGGCTCTTGGCTTAGGGACTTCTATCAGGCACTCACATAGCAACTGTCCTTAAAGGACTGCTGATCTGAGCCTTAAGTAGTGGTAAGAAAAATGATCCTTGGAACCATCAAAAAGCAAAACAAAACCAAAACCAACCAAACAAACAAAACCTATAGCTGTCTTTAATTTCGAATCATCTCCTACGTTTCACAGTTTGGAAAGGATTCTATCAGAAATGGGTAATATTAAAACACAAGAGCTGATGCTGAGATGGTGAACTTGTTGGTGAACCCAAGCTGTTTACCTAGCCTTGGATACACTCCTTTTTTTCTCCTAGGACGTCTTTCTTTTTCTTCCTTCCGGGTGGAACACCTATGCCACCTCTTCCAAGAACCCCACCACATGGTCCAGGCGGAAGTAATCTCTTCCTCCTCTGCCTTCCCATAGCATCTCCATGTGGCTTGGTTTTGCATGGGTCATCAGACCGGGTTGTTTACACGGCTGCTTTTGCACTAAATTATGCACACCTCGAGACCAGGGGCCGTGACCGTGACGGTGTACCTACACAGCACCTGGTACAGGGCTAGGCGCGGAGTCGGTGCTCAGTAAACCCTCGCTGAGTTGAATTAATTTGGAAAAATCACTCAGGGTAAGATCTCTTGCTCGAGGCGCGGATGAATGATTCATGGAGTGGTTCTTTGCATTCTTTACCTTACAGTCACGGCGCGCCGAGTATCCAGCTGCCCGGCACATACCTGTGGAATCGAAACGCACCTCCGCCGCCCGCCTCCAGCGTGCGGGGTTAGCCCTATGGGGCAGGTTTCCCCCTCGCGTCCGCACGTCCGCTGGCGAGCTGGGGCGGGGGGGTGGGGGGCGGGGGGCGGCTCCCGCTCGTCTGCAGGGGGCGGGGTTCGGAGGGAACTCGGCCGGCCCTCTTGCCCGCCCCCTCCTCGGCAAGGCGGAAGCCCCGCCCCCGGCCGCGCGCTCGCGCAGGCGGCGCGTGCCCGCCCCCCGCCCTGCGCCCTCGCGCCCTCGCGCCCTCGCGCCGGGGGCGGGCTTGCTGCGCGTGCCGGGCGGGGAAACGGCGCGAGCAGAGCGCCTGAGAACGTTCGCTGCGGGGGCGGCTCCGGGGCCTGAGCGGGCACCGCCGTCACCTCAGCCGCCCGGGCCGGGCCGGAGGAGGAGGAGGAGGCTGCGGCAGTCCGAGACCTTCTCGACGTCCCCAGCTCCGGCCGGGAAGTGAGTGGGGTGGGGGTTCGCGGCGGCGGCGGCCGTGGGCTGCGGGAGAGGAGCGGGGTGCTGTAGCCTCGCGCCGGCGAGGAGCGGGAAGGAGCCCGCTCAGCGCCGGGACCTCCGGAGCCTGCGGGGGTGCAGGGCCGGGAGCGGCTGGGACGGGGCTCGGAGAGTCGGGGCCGCTGCACCGCGCGTACGGCGAGGGGAGACGGTGCCGCGCGCCCGGCCCTGGAGGGGCGAGCCGAGGGGATGGAGCGGAGCCCTGGGCCGGCGCTGCCGGGCTCTGAGCGCCGGGCCGGGGAGGGGGTCTCCGGGATCCCGAGCGCACCTTGGCCGCAGGGCGCGGGGCCGGGGTGCGGGCGCCGGGCTGATGCTGCTGGAGCCCAGCTTGCTGGGGGGAGGCTGTGCGTTAGGTGCTGTTAGGGGCGCAGGAGGCAGGTCCTGGCAGAGGGCAGGTGAGGCAGTTAGGCCCTGGCAGAGGGGAGGGAATGTATTTCACATCACCTCCAAATACTACCGAGGCGCCTAACAGTGAACCTGTGCACCGAGGTCACCTTTGAAAGGAAGGTGTCCTGAGAGGAGGCAGGATGGAGCTAACAAATGCTTGCTGTTAAATTCCTGTGCCAGGCCTTGGGATTAAGAAGACCTTCTCGCATTTCTAGCAGACGTTTATTGATTAGCTACCTTGGGTTAGAGAACCGTGGTCAGCACTGGGGACACGAAACAGTGTAAAACACAACGGTAATTTGCTATGTAGGTGCTGACAATTTGGTAGTGAAGGTTTGCGTGTCGAATACAAAGTGGCATTGAATTTCACCTCATACTTCATTCATTTGAGGTCTTTTTTTTTTGGTCCTTTCCCAGTGTTGGGAGGTTGGAGCCAAAAATTGCTTGGTTTGGGGATAAAGCAGAAGAGTCAGAGGAGCTTGTGAGAGAAATTTGGGAGAGTTTTGAAGGCAGTTCTGCCTAACATTTAAAGGGGAAGAAGGGAAGAAGAAATTTGGAAAGAGAAAAGAAGTTCCCTTCTTTCCTTCCTAGAATTAAGCTCCGTGGCTATCACTGCTAAATCCCCAATGACGAGAACAGTGTCTGGCCCGCAGCAGTCAGGCAAAAAATAGTTATTGGATCAATGAATGAACCAAGCAAGGTTTTGCTGTATTTTACACGAAACAGTATTAATTACTTTGGTGTTAGGGATGGCTGATGGACTTCCTCTCTTCCTGAAATATGCTTTCTTTTCTTCTTCTTCTTCTTCTTCTTTTTTTTTTTTTTTAAAGATTTTATTTATTTGACAGAGAGAGACCGTGATAGAGAGGCAACACAAGCAGGGGGAGTGGGGGAGGGAGAAGCAGGCTTCCCACTGAGCAGGGAGCCCAGCGGGGGGTGGGGGGGGTGCCTCAATCCCAGGATCCTGGGATCATGAACTAAGCTGAAGGCAGACCCTTAATGACTGAGCCACCCAGGTGCCCCTTTTTATTACTATTTTAAAAGATTTTATTTATTCATTTGACAGCATAAGCAGGGGAGCAGCAGGCAAAGGGAGAGGGAGATACAGGCTTCCCACTGAGCAGGGAACCCAATGTGGGGCTCCCTCTCAGGACCCTGGGATCATGACCTGAGATGCAGGCAGATGCTTAATGACTGAGCCACCCAGGCGCCTCTTCCTCCTCCTCCTCCTTCTTCTTCTTTTTTGTCATCTAAGGTAACCCAGGTTTCTAGGTCTGGGGATTTAAAGCAGTGGCTAAGGTGGTGACCACCCTGCCACATCTTTATTGCATATTGGCCAGTGGGAGCTTACTCCTTGGGACACTGCTTCAAATCATCCAGTTCTGCCCTTCTCTTTTCTGTCACTATAGGAAGAAGAGTACTTTAGTTTAGGCAACATTATTTTTCCTCTTTTATCCTGGTTCTTGGATCTTCCATCTGCAGTAAGAGAATGTATCTCTGCTCTCCTGTAAGGGTTGCAATTCTACCTGTTGTCTGCCGTGGCTGGATTTCTGGGCTCTCCAATTCCCAGCTGCTGTTTCAGTGCCTGGGCTTGCAGTGCCTGTTGGATTACTTTGTCTGCCAAATTAAAACTTGACCTTTTATGAGTTCTATGAGGATTTTTATCATACATAAGTGGAATTACCTTTGGAGAGGGTTACGTAGTTAAAGGTGTGCTGGCAAGGTTTTTGAGTGTCCACTGTGCACGAGAGACAGATTTTCTATTTAGAAAATTAGACTTAGAACCAACATGGCGCTTGAGTGGCTCAATCGGTTGAATGTCTGCACTTGGCTCCAGTCATGATCCCAGGGTCCTGGAATTGAGTCCCACGTCTCCCTCTGCCCTGCCTCTGCCTCTCTGCCTTTCATGAATAAATAGACAAAAACAAAACAAAACAAAACAAAACACAATAGAATGCCAAGTTACCTTTTATTTTATGACTTTATTTAAAAAAATTTATGACTTTAATAGAAATCTTTTAAGGACCCTCATGTCCACATATAAAAAACAAGGGTAATATTAATATAGATTAATCTTGTGCTGTAAGCCTTGAAGAACTAAGTTAATTTCTCTTTAGTTTCAGAGTACAGCCAGCAGGAGTCCATCAGTTCTTGTTTGGGGGTACCCTAGTCCTGTAAATTTGGGTGCCTTATTCCAGGTTCTCCCAGTGATACTGTAATTTATCTGTATATTTATGTTTCTTTTATTTTTTATTTATTTATTTAAAAGACTTTATTTATTTATTTGACAGACAGAGATCACGAGTAGGCAGAGAGGCAGGCAGAGAGGGGGAAGCAGGTTCCCCGCCGAGCTGAGCAGAGAGCCCGATTCGGGGCTCAATCCCAGAACCCTGAGATCATGACCTGAGTCGAAGGCAGAGGCTTAACCTGCTGAGCCACCCCGGCGCCCCTTTATGTTTCTTTTAAAATCAGCGTTATGAATGTGTAGTTGACATACAATAACATGCCCAGGGGCGCCTGGGTGGCTCAGTGGGTTAAGCCTCTGCCTTCAGCTCAGGTCATGATCCCAGGTTCCTGGGATCGAGCCCCGCATCGGGCTCTCTGCTCACCCGGGAGCCTGCTTCCTCCTCTCTCTCTGCCTGCCTCTCTGTCTACTTGTGATCTCTCTCTCTGTCGAATAAATAAATAAAATATTTAAAAAAAAATGCCCAGATGTCTGTGTACAGTTGGATGAGTTTTGAAAAGTATATATGCTTTGTAACCACTCTCCCAATCAGGATATAGAAATTTACATCATCCCAGAAAATTCCCTCATGCTGGTTTATAGTCCACCCCTCTCACTTTACTTACTTCTAGTTACACAAGCATCAGGGTTGTGGTGTAGTTGGGCAGGATGTGTATCGCCCACCTGTAGGGAGTGCCCTTCCTAGCAGCATCCCTGCAGACGTACCTCCTGGAGTTGTCTCCGGCACAGTCTGTGGGGCTGTGTACTGCAGCGCTGTGGATGGCTCATGAGCACACACTTATAAAATACTCAGATAATACAGATGGAATGAATGTCCCCTTGGCCCACTCCCTTTTCTACAGAAATTGCGGTTATCAGACCTTTGCATTTTCATCTATTTATAGGTAGTACAGACAAAAAGCAGAATTTCCCTCTACCCCTGAGTTACTGACATGATACTGTACATTGTTCTGCAACATTTCCCCCCTAACAAAATGTCCGAGATCTTCCCATGTTGGAACGTAGGTATCTACCCGATTTTTCTTGACTAAAACATGATCTCTTATGTGGTATGTGTATTGTACTATAGTTTATTTAATCGTCTCCTCATTAAAGGCCATTTAAGCTCTTTGCCATTTCAGACATTGCCGCAATGAATGGAAGAAGTAGAATTGCCAAGGGGGTGCACATTTTATATTTTAATTCAGGAGATTTAAGCATGAAATTGTGGATCTGGTTAAAATTTTTTTTTTTTTAACTGCTAGATAATGTTCAGTTGTGGAGACTTAAATTACCGTTTTCATTCTTCGTGCACTGAGGAACAGACAGTTGTGTTACTTTGGCTGTTGATTCTTGTGTTGCAGATGCGTCTTGCTGCTAGTCTGAGGCTTGCCTTTCCCCATGGTTGGTAGAGTCTTTGTATGGAAGTTTAAGATTTTAATATTATATTTATGAAAAAAATTCCCTTAAATTCAAAATAAGGTTCTATTGTGTCTTTTTTTTTTTCCTTGAGATTTATTTATTTGAGAGTGAGAGAGAGCAAGTGTGCATTGGAGCAGAGGGAGGGGGAGATGGACAAGGAAAGACAAGCAGACTCCCTGCTGAGTGGGGAGCCTGATGCAGGGCTCAATCCAAGGACCCCAAGATCAGGACCTGAGCCAAAGTCAGGCACTTAACCAGCTGAGCCACCGAGACACCCCTGTGTGTGTTTGGTTTAAGTAAATTTTCTCTACTCCAGGTATGAATTCTATATTTCTATATTTTCTTCCAAAATTAAAGTGGTGCCTGGCTGGCTCAGTCGGAAGAGCATGCGGCGCTTGATCTGGGGTTGTGAGTTTGAGCACCACATTGGGTGTAGATTTAAATTGTAATTTTGTAATGTAAATTTAAAAAAATTTAAAGTTTTGCTTTCCATGTGGAATTTCTATGTGGTATAATGAAGGAGGCCTCCCCCCCCCCATTTGGATAACCAGTTTTTCAGCACCTTGTCTCATTTTTTAAATTGTAAAATATACATGACATACAGTTTACCATTTTAGCCATTTGTAAATGTACATTTGCCGCATTAAGTACCTTCACATTGTTGTGGAACCATCAACACTTACCGTCTCCAGATCTTTTTAATCTTCCCCACCTGAAACTTTGTACCCATTAAACACCGCCTCCTTAGTCTCACCTCTCTTCAGCCCCTGGCAACCGCCATTCTACTTTTTGTGTCTATAATGTGACTACTCCAGGTACCTCATGCCAAGTGGAATCATACAATATTTGTCCTTTTGTCTGGCTTATTTCAGTTTGCATGTCTTTGGAGTTCATTTATATTGTAGCATCTGTC